GCATTCTCGATTCAACATATCACAATAACACATAGTAAATAAAGTCAAACAATGTTATTCACATCCAACACCAATTCACAAACCGAACAACACAATTATAATTCATTTACATAATCATGTTATTGTTAAATCACTTATTTACAACAAGAACACTTTTATTGAAAATAATATCATGCTATATTTCCAACGCTTTAAATGAGGACTCAAATGGAGTTACGGTTCAAAAGTTATAAATTTTTAAAGTTTCAATGAAAACGTAAACACCGACATCATACACTGACACCACAAAACCACATTAAACACCAATTAAATTTATTTCCAGAATATGAAACCATTTTTACAAGAAAGTATATTGTATTAGATTCCCCAGGTTCAATCGGTACATCAAACGGACACCCGAAACTCATGTTATAAATTTTTGAAGTTTTACAAAAATTCTACATTTTTCCCGCGAGACAGCTCTCAGGTTCCACGGGTTTTCACCCCAAAATCCATCCAAAAAGCCAATTTTCTTGAAATAAAATACATTACAACATATACCTAACCTATAGCATCAAGTAAAAATATCAAAACATGATTTTCAACATAATTTTCATGAATCTAATTTCAAATCCTAACATGTTAAAACTAGAAATTGAAGAACATCAATCCCTAATTTCATGCTTATCTACCCATTAAATGCTATTACATACTCCCATAATCAAATGAAAACCCACATTTACCTTAGATGTATATTTTCTAAGGTTCTTCCTCTTCTCTTCTCTTTTCTTTTTTTTCTTCTTTCTCTTTCTTCTCTTATCTTGTTTTTCTTCACTTTCACTTTCTAACTTCTATATCTCTTATTTTATAAAAACACCAACTATTGTTTCACTAATAGGCTTAATGTCACACACTCACACTAACTCTACACATAAGGCCCAATTGGTTATTTTGTTATTCTCACACCAATAACCAATAAACATATAACACACATATAGTTCAAATAAATCATTTATTCACAAAATCACCAAATTTAATTAATAAGTCACATATCACACAAAATGACCAATTAATGCAAATAGTCACATATTCACCAAAAATCAACTAATTAATTAATTGCTATATCAAATAATAATTAATAAAATAAATAAATAATAAAATAAATAAATAATAAAATAAATAATAAATAATAAATAAAAATCGGGTTGCTACAGGTTGCTCTGGTACTTTTTCTTTGGATTTTTCTTCTTTAGGAGAAAACAACTTCCTTCTCATTGGCTTTCTTCCTTCGATCTTGTTAATAGACTGAGGCTGGTTAGTGCTGGACTCAGTCATTCCTGCCTCGATTGCCTCTCTTTCTGCTTTTTTTCTTTTGTTAGATTCTCCTCCATTGTGATTTAGACACGGGGTTTTTCCCCTTGTAGTTTTCAGACTTACAAGCTTGTTGTCAAGACTCTTAGAATTCTCTTAGATAGGCAATCGAAGAGCCTTGGCCAAACTTGAAACTTGTTCATTTATTCTGTCTAGGAGCTCTATTTTCTATAGGTTTTACCCACCATCTACAGTAGGCTTAAAGGAAGCCTGTTTGTTGGTCCCAAGGCTTTGGCCTCCTGGATGCTACCTTCGAGGGATTCCCCTCTTATCGAACATGAACCTGCTTCCCTCATTCTTCCAATTTCCCTTTCGATTGGAAATTCGAACCCTCTCTAGGTTTTGATCCACCTTTCGGTCGTACATGGAACTGCACCTTGGACACATGAGTGCTTCAGGGTTTTTCTTCTGGCAGCGTAGAAGAAAATCAAGCAAGTTTTTGTTGGCCTTTGGGTAGGCCACTTTCAGTTGGGATTCCTCCCTTCGGAGGTTCTCTTCGTTCATATCCATGGTTGTTCTACCATTTAGCTCGACCATATTGATCTCCACCTTAGGATCTTCATTGATCCTACAGTTCTGCAACTTGGTCCTGAGGCCTTCAGTAGCCTCTATTACTTTGACCTTCTGATTGAAACCATTAGTAGTTCCATTCTGGGTGTTCTGGCCATCAAAGTCCTCAGTAACTTCGACCATGTTGATGTATGATGGCTATGCATAGTGGGTATCCTCCACTTAGAGAGGATCTGAATCCACCTTCATCTGTGTTTTGTTCTTCTCTCTGAACTTGAGTCTCCCATCAAGAATAGCATTCTGCACCAGATCCCTGAAAAGAAAACACTGTGAGTTTTATGGCCCCAAAACTATGATATTTACAAAATCCCCTTTTCTTTCGTTGTTATAACGGAGGAATTTTAGCACCAGGTGGCACTATCATTTGACCATCTTTGACTAGTAAGTCGAAAATTTCATCACACTTCGTTACATCGAAGGTGTATGTTCTCTTTCGGAACTTATCATTCTTTTCTTATTCGATGAGATTCTTCCCATTCAAAGGAGAAAGAACTTTGCACAAATATGGTGGACCTTGTTTAAGTTCGGCCAAATCCATTTTGTTTTCATCGAATCCTACAGGGACACTATACACCTCAGATTTGTCTTCATCCATTTCGACATAAGTTACCCTTTCCATTCTATTATTTTTGTTAGCCCTAGCTTTTTCAGCTTTTAAACGTTCGACCTGTCGAAATCTGTCTGCTAGTTGGGCCATATCTCTAAAATAATGGGTATCTATCTTCTTTCTAATGGAATAGTCTAAACCACCCGCAGCCATTTCGACAAGTTCTTGTTCTGGCACTTGGGTGAAACATCTCTCCTTTAACACACGAAATCTATTAAGGTAATCGTCTGGCTCGCTAAACTTTCATTTAATGTTAGCCAATTCTTTCACGCTTATCTTTGATTGTCCCATGTAAAACTACTCATGGAACAGTCTTTCCAAGCGAGTCCAATCATGGATAGAATTCACAGGAAGAGTTGTAAACCAAGTAAAAGAGTTCTTAGTTAGATAACTAGGAAAATATTTTATCTTTAGGTTTTCATTATTCTCTATGTCTCCAGCCTCAGTCAAATATCGGGTTATGTGTTCGATGGTGCATTCGCTGGTATCACCAGAAAACTTCGTGAACTTTGGGACTTTCTATCCCCTTGGTAGTTCAGTCTGCAAAACACATTCAGACAAAGGGGAAGTATAGTTTGTCCTTCGAAGGCCTATGTTTACCCCGTTTCAAGCCATTTTCCTTTCGACCATGGCTGCTAGATTATTTTTTCCTGGATATTCGTCTTGTCAAACACGGTTAAGGACTTCGTCGGTATCCTGTAAATTTCTGATATATTTAGTTGGTTTTCTTATTAAACACCTAAAATTTCAAAATTTTCTAGTGAATCGTCTCCAAATTTTTTTTGAAAAATACGAACAAAATTTCAATTTTACCATGAGCCCAAAGTGATATTTTAAACATATATAAAAAAAATTTAGGTAAATTTTAAGGTGGTAAGTTAAATTCTGCACTACAATCCATCATTTTTAAATTTCAGTACATTCTATCAATTTCATAGCATTCGGAGATACAACGCGACATCACTGCAAATTTCAGAACTCAGAAGAGTTCTCCTTTGTTAATCGGGAAATGTCGAGGTTCGTTTCTTATTCCAATTTTGTTACTCCCTTTCATTCACACTCTTCGCTTAGGGTTTCCTCTCACTCTCCCCATCGTCTCATTCCCAATAATTTTAGTGTTGATGATGCTGTTGATGATGCTGTTTCCTCCTTCTAACGCACTTTTGTTTGGGGATTACTTTGCTAGTTTTGGCTATTTTACCACTCCTTAATCTCATGCAACAACATTAATGAATAAAACTTTGTTTAAAAATAGTAAAATTTGTAACAAAACAGACACAAGGTCCCACTGGGCATGCCAATTTGTTTACCGTGAAATTTGGTAAACAACCGCCAGTCTTCCGAATCCTAGAGATTTTGGTTGCTTATATGATCAACTAGATTGATCCTAGGGCAATAGTGTATGTTTTGTGTTCTCTAAGTTTTCTGGGTGCTAATCTCTATACAAGAGATTTCTATTTCGAAAGTAGTAATAAATAACTTTAAAATAAAGGTTGGAATATAAAGCAATTTCGACTTAAACTTGAATAGAATGTAAAAGATTTTAAGTGAAAATGATTGACATTGAATGTAAAATTGGTGCTTCATACGTACATTCTAAGCAACTCGTTTCTCGAACACTTGGTACTTTGAATTTATTTGAGTAATTTGTACAAAAGTGAACACACATAATTCTAACATAAAAACTCTTATATATACTAATTCGAAATTAACTACCACAAACAGTATTCTCCTGATAGATTGGCACGTTCTCGTTTGCATGTCTGTAGCCTTTTGCAGACTTTCACGTATCTTTTTCAAAGATCAAAAAAGCGCTAAAATCAATTATAGCCCATTTGAATATCCGTCGAACCTACTTCAAAATACCTTCAGAAAAGTTACTAAGCCATTCGCCTTGTATTACTTCAACCATGTAGACTCGGTGAAATGCATCTTCTATTAACTCCAGTCGAAATTGGCTTCTATTATCCAACACTTGTCTTTTGAATTCGTCTCGAGCATATTTTCACTAGAACGTCGAAATCACACTAACACACAGATAAATAATTTTATTTACAGACATTCCGAAAATTTCAAACTTATATAAAATTTCCAGTATACCAAAAATTCTGAAATTTTCTAAAAGTTTTGTTGCTTCCCATAAATTTTAAAATTTCCGATATGTTTAGTTGGTTTTCTTACTAAACACCTAAAATTTCAAAAATTTCTAGTGAATCGTCTCCAAATTTTTTTTGAAAAATACGAACAAAATTTCAATTTTACCATATATAAAATTTTTTAAGGTGGTAAGTTAAATTCTGCACTACAATCCATCATTTTTAAAATGAGCAGCACCGCAAATCTCAGTACATTCTATCAATTTCATAGCATTCGGAGATACCACGCGACATCACTGCAAATTTCAGAATATTCTACCCATCGTCTCATTCCCAATAATTTTAGTGTTGATGATGCTGTTTCCTCCTTCCACCGCATGCTAAATATGCGTTCTACTCCTTCCATTGTTGAATTTAACAATATTTTAGGTTTCCTCGTTAAGACTAACAATCATTACGCCACTGCCATTTCCTTTTATCAACAATTGGAATTCAATCAAATCAAACCATGTCTTGTTACTTTAAACACTCTCATCAATTGTTATTGCCACACTGGTCGAATGGGGTTCGCTTTTTCTGTATTTGCTAAGATTCTCAAAATTTGTTATCAGCCTGATATCATTACTTTGACTACTCTTATCAAGGGTTTGTGTCTTAACCGTAAGGTTCATGAAGCTCTGCACTTTCATGACCATGTGGTTGCACATGGGTTTCGGCTGAACCAAATTAGTTATGGTACATTAATCAACGGAAACAGGAGCCGTGAAAATGTTGAGACAAATTGATGGCAAGTTGGTCAATGTGGATGTGGTAATGTACAGCATCATAATTGATAGTTTGTGTAAAGATAAATTAGTAACGGATGCCTATGAGTTATATCTTGAAATGATTGCAAAGAAACTTTCTCCCGATGTTGTCACTTTCAGTGCTCTTATATATGGATTTTGTATTGTTGGTCAATTGAAAGAAACATTTGGCTTGTTCCATGAAATGATATCAAAAAACATCAACCCAAATGCTTATACTTTTAATATATTGGTTTATGCTCTTTGTAAGGAAGGAAATCTGAAAGAAGCTAAGGAAATGTTAAGCGTGATGATGAAAAAAGGTGTAACACCTGATGTTGTTACTTACAATTCATTAATGGATGGGTATTTCCTAGTTAAAGAAGTGAACAAGGCCATAAATATATTCTATACTCTGGCTCGAAGGGGAGTGGCTCCTAATGTTTGTTCTTATAATATAATGATCAATGTGTTATGTAAGAGTAGAATGGTGGATCAGGCCATTAATCTCTTTAAAGAAATGGGTAGCAACAATATTATTCCTGATTTGATGACTTACAATACCCTTATTGATGGTTTGTGTAAATCAGGGAGAATCTCCTATGCTTGGGAACTTGTTCTTGAGATGCAAGATAATGGTCAACCACCCGATATATTCACTTACAATTCTGTAATACACGCTCTATTCAAAAACCATCATGTTGACAAAGCTATTGCATTAGTCAAGAAAATTAAAGACCAGGGCATTCAACCAAATATGTGCACATACAGGATACTTCTAGATGGACTATGCAAAGGAGGACAACTTACGAACGCAAAAGATGTTTTTAAGGATCTTTTGACTAAGGGTAATAGTCTAGGTATCCAAACATATAATATTATGATCAATGGACTTTGTAGAGAGGGCTTGTTTGATGAAGTAGAGACCTTGTTCTCCAAAATGGAACACAATGGTATCACTCCTGATGCTATAACTTATGAAACTATTATAGGTGCTCTCTTTTATAAAAATGAGAATGAAAAGGCCGAGAAACTTCTCCGTGAAATGATTACTAGAGGTCTACTTGAAGTGCAACTCTAGGTAAGATAACTTCTTCTTTGATGACAACTATGTAATTATTAAGATTTAATTATTTACTTTGTTAATAGTTACATACACAAAAGAAGGTGGACTGCTCAATTATCTCACTGTCACTTTTATTTTAATCAAAAGTCATGTGTTGTTATTATGTTCATTTCGATATTTTAATGGCGTCAATGGTTGATTCGTTGATTCTTTTTTGTTGCGACATAGTTATCCTTTATCTTTGCAATGTACTTCGATCATCTTCATTTAATTTTAATGATATTTTCTTGTATTGCTCATTTTTAGTGAGTTAGATAACAAACCAATCTGAGAATGGATTTGAATATTTATGTTCCTTTATATGGTTGTGTGTATATCATTTCTAGAGTTTTGAGATTTAGCAATAATTCTATACAAGTCTGCATATTACTAGGGGAAAACAAAGGCATGATGGAAACTTTGAAATTTATATATACAGTGTGAATTATATAATAATATAACCACCAATTTAATAACCACTGTAATTGTTGTTTGCATTAACTTTCCTTTGGCAATGTCCATTTGTGGATCCAATTCTTCAAGTATATTTGTTTGTGAATCCAAGAGTTCTAGTTTGTTGTTGATGTCTGTGTCAATATCTAAAGTGCTTTTGAGCTGATTATTTTTCAGCACCCTATAACTCTTGTTAGCTTGTATATTACTATAATGAATTTGATTTTACCTTAAGAGCCAAAAACAACTTTAAACTTATTTTGTACCTTTATGATAGATTCACTAATAAAACTTCTTTGCAACATATTCAAATTTGGAAATTGTTTTCTGCACTTCTTTCAGGTTCCTTACTGTCTGCTTGATCTAAATCATTATTTACTTTCTTGTGGTGGAGAACAAATATCACTTTTGATTCACTTCTCTCCTCTGCTTTTGATGTCAGATCTTCGTCTTCCAAATCATACCCAAAATCATCAGGATGAGAATCCAGTCAAAGTCTATTTTCTGGCACTATAGATTTTTTTGTACTCAATTGGGCTGCTGCTTGGTGGCAAATCAGGCAAACAACCAACATCATTCAAGGATATTTGAACTGCAGGATCAGTTGAATATTCATCAGTATTTAGTTTTGATTGATTAGTATGTACTAATGATGAGGCTGTTGGATTTGTATTTATGGCTTCTTTGAATTTTGTATTATTTGTGCGATGCAAGAGCTTTTGTCAGTGAAAGGTTCAGACACATTCGCCTTGTTTCGAACTCGGTAGGGGTGACCATCTCGTGTTTCGAATCTATGTGCAATGTTCATTAAATCTCTTTTTTGAATTACCATCATGATTTCAATATATAAAAAAATTTAAATATAAGATTTTTCAAATTAATCAAAGATTAATAAGAAACAGAAAATTATGAACTTGAATTGTCTCTATAATTAAGTCTCACTGTTTGTGTGGATTGGATTTGTTAATATCACTTTTTCTAAAGCTTTTATGCTATAAATTTGACTCTGATTACAAAGCTCTTAATAGTGTCCAAGTGCTTAACAAACTTCTTATCTCAATCATATTTTAGTTATTTATTAAAAAATTTTTTTTGATGAACTCCTAATATATATATTTTTAATAATTATCGTATGCTAATAAAAAATAGAGATTCTGAATATCACAGGAGAATTAATTTTGCAGAAGGCAAGAGATACAATGAAACTCGTGTATCCTCATGATGTCAGACTCCAGGCAGCAATGTTGCGAAATCAACAATTTCACTCATTGTGTCAGTCTCTATGCAACAATGTGTGAAATTTTCTATATTTCACTTACTGTGTCAGTCTCCACGCATCAATATGTTCTTTCTTCGCGATCTAGTTCATTGTGTCAGACTTCATGCGACAATGTGTGAAATCCGCGACATAACTCATTGCACCAGTCTCCATGCAGCAATGTGTTATTAGACTTTGCTTTGTTCATCCCCTAGGTTGCGATGAATATACAAAACCAAATCAGATCAAAATTTGTTGTATTAGTCTCCTAGCATTAGTAGGTCGGCCTTTTAAACTTGTATTATTTACCTCCTAGGTTACAGTAAATATGCGAGTTCTGCAATCTCTGTTAAACTGACGAGTCATCCGCGTCGTCATTCTATCAAAAACTCTGCTCCAAACGCTGGTAAGATGATACCTCATCATCTGTACCTAGTCTTCGCATCATGGGATCGCTGTACAACATATCCTTATAATCTTTCAGACAAATTTTGGGGTCTTCCTATATTTAATAAACTTCCGATCAAAACATGCGAGACCTGCGTATTCTCAAACTATTTAATCAAAAGATAATTAAATAGGGGCAATTATCATACCCCAAATTTGCCCTACCCTTATTTGTGCTTAGGTTTCTTTTAATTGAATCGTATCATTTATTTTTTACTTTTATATAGGTATTTAAAAGCAGAGCGGGGTATAACAATCCAAAAAGGACCATCAACATCTGATGGCCCATTAAGCTCTAATAAGAATCCATTTCTAATGAGAGGGGGTGTATTCTTTCAGAAGGTGGACAGGTTTTTTAAGCCCATTTAGACTTTTGATGAAAAGAAACAATCTTTTTATTTTTATATTAGGCCCATTCCCTTTTGAAGAAAAAAACTGTTTTTTTTTTATATATTACTGATTTATCAAAATGTTTGTCTTAAAATAACAGGCCCAAAACAAGTGACCCATTTCAGATTTTTTTGAAAAGAAAATTGTTTTTATCATTATTGACATTACTACTGTTATATTTAATTATTATCAATATTATTTGATTATTATTAATATTATCATATTATTATTAATATTATTATTCTGAAATCATATTTTTCAAAGAAAAAGCGCAGCGGCTCAATGATTGAAAACACTTTTTACTGTACGAATCATCTAAGTGCACTAACAGTTACTGTATGGATTAAAATGTGTTCCTTCTTTTTACAGTACAGAGATTAAAACGAAAAACCTCTTTTTTTCTTGTCAATCTGTAGCGGTAGAAATGATCAAGACTAAGCCATTAGATTGACTAGACTTTATACAAATCAAAATAAAAATCGCCACCGCGCTTTATTGTTTCCAAAGGAATGGGAAAAGAGCGAATAACCCAAAAGAGGGGGAAAGATTCAAGGTAAGGGGGTTAGTTATGCAAAGGGAAGGTATTAGCACCCTAAACATCTACGGTACTCCGCAGGAACCTCTTTGTAAAATCTGTATATTTTGGCTATAAAAATGTGTTGTATATAAAATGGATAGTGGAGGTGAGAAAAGAAGTATTTTTTATGATTTTTACATCCGTCGCGGTTGTGAATCTTTAGTGCATACGTACCCCCTTTCGTGCAATAGGGGATCAGGGCACACATAGTTCCTCTTTTAAAAGTTTGAAACACAAGTGTGTTGGTCAATATTAAGAGATAAGACATCATCGTCATTGTCCGTGTGGAAAACATACTTACTACCCACAATCATGAGAAAGGAGAATTTGCATCATCTAAAAGTGGAGGATATGACTTAGATTTTAAAATCAACAATGCCTCACTCAACACCCAAGTGGAAAATATATATCTTCACTACATATTGTAGAAGTATAGTTGTTTGTGTCACTACAAGGATTGACAAGAGTCTAATCTTTTGAGAAAAGTTTAAAGATAAAAAGCCAAAGTGGCAAAATGGTTTGAAATGAGATTTGATTGACTTTTAGTCTTCTCACAAAAAGTGTCAAAATATTATTAAATTGATTGAAGTTTATTGATGAAAATGTTTTGAAAATGCATGGACCTAAGTCCAAGTTTATTATGAAAATATTTCAAGTTTAGAAATAAGAAGAATTTTTAAAAGGAGGGAGAAGATTTTTGAAATTAAAGAAGATGAGAGGAGAAGAAGAGGCTATCCTAAAGCATAAGGTAAAAGCTAAGGAGAAGAATCATCTAACCAACAAGAAGCCAATACTTGACATTATGAGTCAAGATAAAATTTCCATTCTTTGGATTGAAACCAAGCAAAGATACTAGGCCTCTTGAGAGAACCAAACTTCAAGTGTATTAAGTCTTCACAAAAATTGGGCAGAGTAATGGATGTACGCGGGTGAATTCCAGATTACAAACAAAGGGTGTAATCACAAAAACCTGCACAAAAAAACAAACAAGCAACCCAATGTCTTGAGGTAAACCTCAAGAGCTCCAGACAAAATAATCAGATAAGATCAGAAGGTATCCAAGATAGGCCAAGGTTTCTAATCCTAAGTCCAAGAAAAAGTCCACTGCTCCATCATGCCAAGGATAATAACCAAATAGTCCAAGTACCATTAAGATTTTTTTAGGGTTTAAGTTTGTTATTAAGTATCTTAGGAAAAGAAAAAAAGAAAAGCTCAAGTGAGCAAAGTAAAAATGACAAGAAAATAAATGCTCAAATGATCAATGATGAGAATGACATGAAATATAAAATGCTAAAAAATAAATAGTACATAAAGCATAAAAGAATAAAAGCATAAAATAAAAACAAGTTAATAATTAGTGGTTAGTTGGATAACCATCTTGAAACTTACATTTGGAACTCATTAGAGGATTGGTAGAACCAAAGCCTCCACACAACAAGTTGCATTTGCTTTTTGTCAAGTATATCATCCATTTGGAATTCTCACAAGTACCATTTAATGATCAACGATGTTTAAGTGATCCGCATTGACCAAAGGTGTTGTAGATCCATTAGAGGATTGGTAGAACCAAAGCCTCCACACAATGAATCTCAAGGTTATTGGATCAAAGAGATCAAATTAACATACTTGGGCTTGCAATCATAAGTTTGGGCCACGAATGATCATTTATTCGAATCGGGACAAAATTTAGCGCTATATTAAGCAATCGTAAGTGGACTTATATAGAAGTCGCACCTATTTTGAGGCCGGTCAATAGCAATCTATGCACCATTTATTTTGAGACATGATATAGAGATCATGCTCTAACAACATTTAGTGCAATTAGAAGGGGATGAGATGAAGAGAAATTAG